TACTCGCCGAGCGTGTCCCTGTCTGCCTAGTGTCCGTACTTGCTGAGCGTGTCCCTGCCTGCCTAGTGTCCGTACCCGCCGCGCGTGTCCCTGCCTAGTGTCCGTACCCGCCGCGCGTGTCCCTGCCCGCCGAGCATGTGTCTGTCTCGTGTCTGTACTCACTGAGAATGTTTCTGTGCAGTATCTCCTTTATTTGTTAACGGGATGCGGGCGTCACTGGCTCGGCAGCATTTATTGCCCATCCCTAATTGCCCGGGAGGTCAGTTCAGAGTCAACCACATTGCTATGGGTCTGGAGTCACATGTAGTCCAGACGAGGTAAGGATGGCAGTTTCCTTCCTTAAAGGACATTAGTGAACCGGATGGGTTTTTCCAGCAATTGACAATCAACAATGGATTCACGGTCATCATTAGATTCCTAATTCCAGATATTTTTATTGAATCCAAATTCCACCATCTGCGAAAGCAGGATTTGAACCGGGCCCCAGAATGTTATCCAGGTCTCTGGATTAACCCTAGGCCATTGCCTCCCTCTATATTCACCAACCCTGTTTCTGTAATTTTTGCACTCACTGAGCATTCCCCTGTAGTTCAGCTCCATATCACGACTTTCTGATCGAATCTTGATGGCATCTAAAATGGTGTCTGCGGAGAGCAGTCCTGCCGGCCTTACAACATTCAATAATTCTGTCAAACTCATTAAGGGTAGGCGGACTGCCTTCATAATCTCCACATGTCTCTCGTTTGGATTCAGTTTGCACCAGTCCACCAAAGCCAGGAAAATGTCCTTCTCTGTAGCAGCGAAGGAATCTCGAGAGACAACATTGAGCAGGGCTGCCTGTGGGTAGATACAGAGTAAACTGACTAGTTACAATACACCTAAGTACACTCAGTGAATGGATTGGGCACTCTTTTTTGCATTTTCGTATGAATGAATAACCTAATTTATCACAATATTCAGTTTGATAGAAGACCCTGTTCAAAGCACTCAATAACCACAGATTAATCTCGGCAAAGCTTAGTAGGCCTGGTAGCATCTGTGAAAAGAAATCAGAGTTAACGTTTTGAGTCCAGTGACCCTTCTTCAGAACTGAGCTGACAATAGACACTGGACCCAAACTGTTAACTCGACTTCTCTTCACAGATGCTGCCAGACCTGCTGAGCTTTCCCAGCAACTTCTGGTTTTGTTTCTGATTTACAGCATCCGCAGTTCTTCTGGTTTTTACAGATTAATCTTGCTCATGTCTCTCAATTTCAATTTTATTGAAGAAACATTGTTAACCAGCAGTGTGGTACTAGCTTTATACTCACTTGTCAGATGGCTGAGCACCAGGATGAAACCTTTGAGAGAAAAAGTAAGGTGAACGGGGAGGTCTGGAAGAATCAAACAGACTGGAATAGAGAATAATTCAGAAATACAAGGTCACAGACGTGGTCACAGATGGGTTTGCAGTGAATATGTATCAACATAAAGAATGTGGTAAATGATGTTGGTGAGCTGCAGACACAATTCAGCATTGAAGACTTTGATACACTGGTAATAATAGAGACATAGTTCAAACAAGGATTGAAGAGTTAGTTAATATTCCCGTACAGGAAGCGTTCCAGAAAGATTGGAAGGAAAACAGGAAGGATACTTGCAGTATTGATCAAAGATCTTTTACAATGTTGGATGGATGAGATAGATGAAGGAAGAAACAGACAATAAGCTGGGCAGAATTAAGGAAGAATCACAGAACTATTAAGCTGCTGAGTATACATATTAGTCTACCAAAAAGTAGGAAGGAGATGGAGAAGCAAATTGGTAGGTTAAATAAGGAAAAATACAAGAATATCAGCTTCAACTGTGCAGAAAGAGGGGAGGCAGTAAAAGAATGGATAGAGAGGGGAGTTCTAGTCTAATAGCAGCCTCTTTAGGGATCTGCTTATTGGGAAAATAAATCAAACAGTGACACTACAGGGAAGTAGTGAGTTAGTTTGTTTGGAATTTTAAAAAGTGCATTTTTTGAAAGAAGAGGTTAACTGAGAAACAACAGGAATTAGTGAAAGTCAGAGCCAATAGTGTAATACAAGGAAGCACCTGAACTAGAATAGGATCAGCATCCTTTCAGGGAGGTTTGCAAGTGTTGTGGGGAGGGTTTAAACTAACTTGGCAGGGGTGGGGAAAATCCAGAGAGAAGGCTCAGAAGGGGAAGTTGCATGGCCAAAATTAGAAAAGACAGCAATTGAGTCAGGAAGGCATAGAAATTATAGGCCAGTTAAGGTACAACGGAGTTTCACCAGATTGGATGATGTTTGTCAGACTCACTTGCGTTAAAATAAACAAGGCAGATGAGCTGAGGGCACAAAGTAAAACATGGGAGTACGATGATATTGATTACAGCATTAAGGGATGACATAGAATCATAGGGTACAGAAAAGGCCCTTCGGCCCATTGAATCTGTACCACCAAAAATACATTAAATTTCCATTAGCCCCACTTTCCAGCAGTTGGCCCATAGTTTTGAATGTTATGACATTTCAAGTGCTCATTCAAGTACTTTTTGAAGTTTGAGAGGTTACCTGCTTCCACTATCCTCCCGGGCAGCACATTCCAGACCCTTACCGTCTGGATGAAAAAGTTTTTCCTCAAGTCCCCTCTAAAATCTTCTGCCTTTCACTTTAAATTATGCTCTCTGTTATAGATCCTTCAACTATGGAGAACAGTTGTGTTCTATCCACCCCGTCTACGCCCCTCACAATCTCACACATCTCTGTCAAGTCTCTGCTCAACCTTTGCTGCTGCAAAGCAAATAACCCAAAACTTATCCAGCGCTCCTTGTATTTAAGATCCTCCATCCCAGGCAACATCCTGGTGAAACCCTCTCCAGTGCAATCACATCCTTCCGATAGTTTGGTGTCTAGATCTGCACACAGTATTCCAGCTGTGACTGAACCAAAGTCCTGTACAGCTCCAAAATAAACTCCCTGTTCTCATAATCTATGCTGCAACTGATAAAGTCAGTTGGATGCATTCTTAACTGCCATATTAACCTCTTCTGCCACCTTCAGGGATCAGTAGACGAGGACCCTAAGATCCTTGTGTTCCTCTGAGCTTCCTCATATTCTTCCATTCAATGTCGTGTTCCTTCTTCCAGCGTATCACCTCACAGTGATCTGGGTTAAATTCCATTTGCCACTGATTAGCCCACCTGACCAATCTGTAGCCTTTTTCCTTACTGTCAACCACTCTGCCAGTCTCAGTGTCATCCGCACACTCATTTATCATTTCCCCCACATTTTCTTCTATAAGGTGTTTATATATAACACAAACAATAAGGGACCCAGCGTTGATCCTTGCAGTACATTATTGGACTCCAATCACACTAACAGCCTTCTTCCACCACCCTCTGTCCCCTGTCATTAGGCTAATTTTGGATCCAAGTTGCCAAGTTACCTTGAATCACATAAGCTTTTAAATTCCTTATCAGTTTCCCACATGGGACCATGTCAAAGGCCTTATGAAATCAATATAAACTACATCAATTGTCCTACCCTCATCTACATGCTTTGTCACCTTGAGAACTTCAAGCAGATTTAAACTCAGAGTCATACAGCATACTAACAGGCCCCTTGGCCCACCATGTCTGCCGACCAACATGCACAAAACTAAAATAATCCCATTTAATTGCATTTGATCCATAGTCTCCTATGCCCTGACATTTGATGTTCTCTCCCACATACTTAAATGTTGCAAAAGTACCTGGTTCCACCACCCTCTCAGGAAGTGCATTCCATATTTCCTCAACACTTTTCGTCAGATCTCCTCTAAACCACTTACTCTTCAACTTGAACCATACTGTCTGGTCTTAGACACATCTGTCATGGGGAAAAGATTCTCATAATCTACCTTATCTATACCTCTGATAATTCTGAAACCTCGATCAGATTCTCCCCTCAGCGTCCTCTGCTCCAGGGAAAACAAACCCAGCCTATCCAGTTTCATCTCCTAACCGAGACTTTCCAACCCAGGCAATATCCTGATGAATCTTCTCTGCATCCCTTTGCTCCTCAGTACTCCCTAATGATCTGTCATTCATTGTCTAAATCCTTCTCTTATTCAACCTCCCAACCTCAAACTTATCAGGCTTAAATTTCTTCGCCATTACTCTGCCCAATTTACCAGCTGATCAATATCGGACCATAGCCCAAGATCATCCTCCTCATTACCAACAACATCACCAGTTTTTGTGTCCTCTGCAAACTTACTCATTATACTTTCTATATCCATATCCAAGTCATTAATGTACATTTGATTTGGTTTGGTTTATTTCTGTCATGTGTACTGAAGTACAGTGAACAGTGTTGTCTTATATGCTTTACAGACAGCTCATACAGCAAGGGTTCCAGCACCGATCTCTGTGGTACACTGTTGGTCACAGAGTTCAAATCTCAAAAACCACCCTCTACCATCACCCTCTGCCTCTTATTTGGAAGCCAATTCTGGATCCAGTCCGTCCAGCCTTCCAAGTCCATATAAAACAGATCAACTGCACTACCCTCATCGATACCTTCAGTCACCTTTTCAAAAAAACCTCAATTCAAATAGTCAGACAGGATCTCCCTCCAAATCTGTACTGACTGACATTGCCTTTCCAAGTGTTAAGTAGTCTTGCCCCTCAGAATTTTTTCCAATATTTTCCCTGCCACAGACATCAGACTAAATGGTCTGTAATTACCTCACCTATCCTTGCTGCTCTTCTTGAAGAAAGGAACCACATTAGTTATCTTCCCATCATCTGGCACTTCACCTGTGGCCAATGAAGTATTACATATCTCCTTTCTATACATACATTCATCTGACAACTTTCTGTTCCTATACTCAATAGCATGTGGCAGAGGAAGTAATCGGAGATTACAACATCAGTCATCGATCTCCCTAATCTAAACCTCATCTAATCCTAATTCTCTAAATTCCTGCTGCAGGACCTAATTTCTTTTTTTAATCCATGTCATTGAAACTGCCATGTACCACAAGTGCTTGCTGTTCACCGTGCCCCTTCAGAATGTCTTGCAACCGCTGAGACATCCCTGACCCTAGCACCAGAGAGGCAACATACCATTCGAGAATCTCATTTGAGGTCACAGAACTGCCTGTCAGTTCCCCTTACAACCAAGTCCCCTCATGACCCTTGAAGTACCATCAATGTTGTTTAAGATGGATTCTCTTCATCAAGTGGGAGGACAGACATACTAATATCAGGTCCTTGAAACAGATAATAGCACTAGCTATCATAATCATCCCATATCATCTAAAACCAACACTACTGGGCCAGCCACTTGCTTAGGATGCCTGAGTTCCACTGCCAAAACAAATCTTTCTCACCTAACCCAAGGAAGGCACTCAAATGAGAGAAAGACAAAGGAAGCGTTTCAATGACTCCCTCAAAGTGTTCCTCAAGAAATGCTACAAAGAGGGAGACCCTCCTTCACAAGAAGCCAATTTGGAGTAAACCCTTGTATGAAAGGACACAATTCATTGAGAACACCCATTGGCAAGAGGAAGTACAGAACAGGAGAAAGGAATACCAACAATCTCAAAGCCAAGGACTGCTTCCACCTCCTGGAAGCACCTGCTAAACATGTGATTGGAGAGGTGGCTTTAGGATCGGGTTCATCAGGGACACAAGAACCCACAGAACCCAGGACCTTTGACACAGATTGTTTTTTTAAATTCATTCATGGAACGAGGGTGTCAGTGCCCATCCCTAGTTGCCCAGAGGGCAGTTAAGAATCAGTCACATTGCTGTGGTCTGGAGTCACATATATGCCAGACCAGGTACGGATGACAGTTTCCTTCCTAAAAGGAAAGGAACCAGATTTTTTTTCCCCTGTAAATCGACAATGGATTTATGGCCAATTGGACTTTTAATTGTAAATTTTTATTGAATTCAAATTTCACCCTCTGCCATGACAGGATTCAAATCCAGATTCCCAGGACATTACCTGAGTTTTGGGATTAATAGTCTAGTGATAATACCACTAGGCCATCACCTCCCCTTCCTAGGTGGACAATCACACTCATTAGCGGACAACTGCCAACAATATGTCAAAGGGAGCAAAGTAACGGAGGCCCTAGAGGAGTAGAGAAAGAGCAGCGCAGAATTAAAGAATGCAATTAAGAGGACAAAGAGAGGTCATGAAAATATACCGGTGGACAAGATTAGGGAGAATCCGGAGATATTCTACAGGTACATTGGGGTGAGAGAACAACTAGAGAAAGAGTGGGGCCAGTTAGGGACCATGGGGGAAATCTGTGCGTAAAGCCGGAAGACATTCGTAAAGTTCCAAACGAATACTTCACATCTGTCTTTACTTGGAAGGAGAATGCCAGTACAGAATTCAAGACGATGAACTGAAAAGTTATTGAGCAGAATGAGAGAAGAAGCAAAGAGGTATTAGCTATACAAAAGCCTGGTTCGTCCACATCTGGAGTATTGTGTCCAGTTCTGGTTGCCTCATTACAGGAAAGATGTAGAAGCGTTGAAAAAGGTGCAGAGGAGATTTACGAGGATGTTGCCTGGAATAGAGGGAAGGTCTTACGAGGAAAGGCTGAGAGAGGTAGGGCTTTTCTCTTTAGAACGACGAAGGATGAGGGGTGACTCGATAGAGGTGTACAAAATGATCAGAGGTATAGATAGAGTGGACAGCCAGAGACTTTTTCCTAGGGTGGAGGAAGCTACTATGAGGGGGCACAGTTTTAAAGTGAGCGGAGGTAGATATAGGGGAGATGTCAGAGGTAGGTTCTTTACTCAGAGTGGTAGGAGCGTGGAATGCATTGCCGGAGAGAGTAGTGGAGTCGGCCTCATTAGGGGCATTTAAGCGGCTATTAGATAGGCATATGGATGATAGTATAAGGTAGGGGTGGAGGTTAGATAGACCTTAGGATTAGGGTAAAAGTTCGGCACAACATTGTGGGCCGAAGGGCCTGTAGTGTGCTATACTGTTCTATGTTCTATGTATTAGAGGTTTGGCAGGTTTAAAAGTGGACAAATCCCCAGATCTGTTCTGAGGAAGGGTCACTGGACCCGAAATGTTAACTCTGATTTTTTTCTTCACAGATGCTGCCAGACCTGCTGAGCTTTTTCAGCAACTTCTGCTTTCGTCCCCAGATCTGGATGAGTTGCATTGCAAACTACTGTGGGAGACGAAGGAAGAAATAACAGGTACCCTGAGCCAAATTTTTAAAGCATCTCTGGACACAGCGAAGATGCACAGAGATCTGAAGGACAGTTAATGTGGTTCCATTTTACAAGAAGGTTCGTAGAGATAGAGCAGTGAGTCTCACATCATCAGTAGGAAAACAACTGGAGAAAATATTGAACGTGAAAATTAATCTCCCTTTAGAGGCAAGGTTTGATCAGGGACGGTCAGATGGATTTGTCAGAAGAAGGTCATGCTTAACAAATCTGAACTTTTCAAGAAGGTGACCAAGTGTTTGGGTGAGGGTAGAGACAGGTGATGTATTCTATATGGATTTTAGCTGTCCCACGTGGGAAACTGATAAAGAAGGCAAAAGCTCATGGAACGCAGGGTAACTTGGCAAGTTCAATCCAAAATTGACTCAGTGACAGGGGACAGAGGATAGTGGCAGAAGGTTGTGTGACTACAGCCTAGTGTGTTGTGGTATACCACAGATATCAGTTCTGAATTCTTTCTCGTTTGTGATATCCTTAAATGACGTAGCTGAAAGCATGGGGGAGATGATAAATAAAGAGGCTTTTACGGCCCGCGAGCTGGAAATTCTGAAATTGGCGAGAAGAATTGTCGAGCATACTGACTTCTAATTGTGGAGGCTAAGGGGCAACTCTCAGATACCTTCCCCTATCTCCCCTGGATCATGGCCCCACAGTGGAACACCAGGACATTGCATCCACAATGCTTATTAGCCTCATTTCATCCAGTCATCTCTACCCCTACTACCTCCAAGCTCATAACCCTCAACCTCGCACAGCCCATTTCTACCTCCTTCCCAAAATCACCAAACGGGACTGCTGGGACAGACCCATTGTTTCTGCCTGGTTCTGCCCAAAAAAACTCATCTCTTCCTACCTCGACTCGATTTTTGTCTCCCTTTCTCTAATACCTTCCTAATTACAAATTGTGATTCTTCTGACACTTAATATCAGTTTCAGAATTCCAGTTTGCGAGCCCAAGCCTCTGCTTCTTTACCACAGACATACAATCCCTTCACACATTCATCCCCTGTCAAGATTGACCAGGGCTCTCTGCTTCTTCCTGGAAAAAAAGGCCTGAACCGTGCCCATTCACCGCCACCTTCCTTGGCCTGGCCAAGCTTGTCATCTCTTTGGTTAACTTCTCCTTTAACTCCTCTCACTTTCTTCAGATCAAAGGGGTGGTCACGGGTATCTACATGGCCCAGTTATGCCTGTCTCTTTGTGGGGTACTGGTGCATTCCTTGTTCCAATTCTACTCCAGTGCTCACTCACAACACTTTCTGTGCCATCAGTGCTGTTTCCCTCTCTTATCTGGAATTGGAAAAATTCATCAATTTCACTTCCAATTTCCATACTGCTTCCACCTTTACCTGATTCATCTTCCATTCCTCTCTTCCCTTCCTCAACATGTGTTTCCAGTTACCTCGACTATACATCTTTGCACCCTGCTTCTATTCCATTCTCCCAGTTCCTCCATCTCCATTTCCATCTCATTTGTTCCAATGATGCCAACTTCGACTAGGGAGCCTCTGGAATGTCCTCCGAGGATTCCCCAGCACCGAAATTGACACAGCCCTCACCCGGGTCTGTCCCATCTCCTGTATTTTGACCTTCACCCTCTTTCTTTCCTCCCACAACAGCAATAGGGCCATCCCTGTACTCACCTACCATCCTATCAGCATCCATATCCAAAAGATCACAAGCCACCATTTCTGCTACCATGACCAGACACACATTCCCCTCCCCTCTTTGTCAGCCTTCTGCAGGGATCATTTCGGCCCAAAACTTTGACCTCCCTGCTCCTCAGATACTGTCTGACCTGCTGTGCCTTTACAGTTCCACATTTACCAAGGTCCATGCACACCAAGGTCCTTCTGATCCTCGGTGCTGTGAAATCTGTAGAATATCCCAGAGTGTGGTGGATCTGGTCACACATTAAACTTAGGGAGGATATGGGCAGATTTTTAACTATGAAAAGGTTGAAGGGTATGGAGAGGCCAAGATGAGGACTTCTATGATCATATCAAACGGAGAAGCAGGATCAAGGGCTGAATTGCCTACTCCTGCTCTACTTCTTATGTTCTTATCAAAATGCTATTGTGGAGAGCCAGTACTGACATGAGTGGTTGAATGGCCTCCTCCTGGACTATAACCATTTTCTGATTCTATGTCTCCAGCGATAACAGTGCAGGAGCAGGAGGATAAGGCAGTGCACGTTATTCCCTGGCCACACCTAGTAGTCATTAATACAGAGGAGGATGGTTAGGCTACAGATGGAATACTGTGTGAAGTTCTAGTCGCCACACAATTGCAAAGATGTGACTGTAGAGGAGATTAACCAGAATGTTACTGGGATGGAGAGTCTCAGTTATGTGCAGAGACTGGCTGGGCTGGGTTGGGTTCATTTTCCCTAGAGCAGAGGAGGCTGCTCTGATTGAGGGAGACAAAATTACGAGAGGCATAGGTAAGGATAGATCGTGAGAATCTTTCCCCATTGCAGACTTGTTTGAGGTGAGTAAGTGTTTAGAGTGAACCTGTAGAAACATGTTTTCACTCGGAAGGTGGTAGAAATACAAAACACACTGCCTCAGAGAGTGCTGGAGACAGGTATTCTCACAACATTTAAGATGCATCGTGATGAGCACTTAAAATGCCAGGGCAAAGTAGGCTGTGGATCAAGTGCGTGGAAATGGAATTGTGTGTTTGTCAGTCTGCGAGACATGGTCAGCTGGAGGGGCCTGTTTCTATTCTGTACGACTCTAGGTAATGTCACTGACAGACATTATTGGTGATTTTGATAAAAGCTCAAGCAGCTCCAATCATTCAATGACTATCTGAAGGTGGAAGTTTTGAAATTGACTTCCCTCAGCATTTTCAGTGAGAGTCTAAAATTCCAAAGAGAGTATTACTTAGCAGAGACACACCTGGGAAAGTTAATTTATCATGGGATTTAGGGTTTAATCAAAACTAAAATACAATGTTACTGCTCATTATCTTACCTTTGAGAGAGACAGGAAACCATCACTACTAAGAACTGCCTTTGCATTCCTGTCCATGTACAGGCAGCAGGTATCGGAAAGTTTCTGTAGAGAGTAAAGACTGGCCACATCATAAACCATACAGACATTACTAATACTGAGGATCGTGCACAGATACTCCGATGTGGCATCTTCCAGTTCTGGGAATCCATATTTATGAGCAAGACTGAGGAAGTCCAACAATATTTCCTCTTTTTCATTACTGAGTGTGACCTGGCCTGTGTAAATATATTTCAGGAGCATTGTAAATGCCTCTGCTGGCGTATCCTCCAATGGGATTTCAGCTTGCGAATGTGCCTCACGCATTCCACCATACAATAACGCCCTAGGCAGAGAGAAGAGCAAGGTTAGCTGCAAAGACACTTGCGACATTAAATACTGATGTATAACCAAAACAGCAGCTTATATTGATATAGTCCCTCAATATGGTAAAACAGCATTAGAAAGCAAAGTATGAGGCTGAGCCATGAGATAAATTAAGGCAAGTTATCTAAAACATGGCCAAAGAGGTAGGCTTTAAGGAGCCTCTTAGAGAAGGAAAATGGCTTGTAAGTATGTAGAGCTGTACGGAGTGAATATCAGAACATCGAACCAAGGAAAGTGGAGGCACAGACACCAATGTTGGAGGGATTAAAATCAGGGCTGCTCAAGAAGTCAGAATTAGAGAAGCACACAGATCTCAAGAGGCTTGTGCTTTCTGGTGGATAGAGAGAGGGATGAGACTAAGGAGCACATTGAAAGCACTGCTAAAAATTTTAAAACTTTTTTTCAATTCATTCATGAGATTAGGGCATTGCTAGTAATTGCCCATGAGAGTCAACCACATTGCTGTGAATCTGGAGTCAAACGTAGGCCAGTTCAGGTAAAGATGGCAGTTTCCTTTCCTAAAGGACATTAGTGAAACAGATGAGTTTTCCCGACTATTGGCAATGGTTTATGGTCATCATTAGAGTCTTAATTCCTTTTCTTCAATTGAATTCAAATTCCACCAGCCGTCATGGCGGGATTCAAACCCAGGTTCCAGAACATTCCTGCGTCTCTGGATTAACAGTACAGCTATACCATTAGGCCATCGACGCCCCCTGGCTTGACATTATTTAAGAACATAAGAACATAAGAACTAGGAGCAGGAGTAGGCCGTCTGGCCCTTCGAGCCTGCTCCGCCATTCAATAAGATCATGGCTGATCCTTTCGTGGACTCAGATCCACTTACCCGCATTCTCACCGTATCCCTTAATTCCTTTATTGTTCAAAAAAAATCTACCTTTTTTTTTAAAAGCATTTACTGAAGTAGCATCAACTACTTCACTGGGCGAGGAATTCCACAGATTAACAACCCTCTGGGTGAAGAAATTCCTTCTCAGTTCAGTCCTACATCTGCTCCCTCTAATCTTGAGGCTATGCCCTCTTGTCCTAGCTTCACCTGCCAGTGGAAACATCCTCTCTACTTCTATCTTATCTATTCCCTTCATAATTTCATATGTTTCTATAAGATCCCCTCTCAATCTTCTGAATTCCAATGAATATAATCCCAATCTACTCAGTCTCTCCTCATAAGCCAACCCCCTCAACTCCGGAATCAACCTAGTGAACCTCCTTTGCACCCCCTCCAGTGCCAGTACATCCTTTCTCAAGTAAGGAGACCAAAACTGCACACAGTACTCCAGGTGTGGCCTCACCAGCACCTTGTACAGGTGCAACATAACCTCTCTGCTTTTTATTTCAATCCCTTTAGCAATGAAGGACAAAATTCCATTTGCCTTCCTAATTACTTAAATCAACGATCTTTTAAAATTTTTTAAATTCATTAACAGGATGAGGGCGTCACTGGCTAGGTAACATTTACTGCCCATCCCTAATTGCCCAGAGGGCAGTTAAGAGTCAAATACGTTGCTGTGGGTCTGGAGTCACATGTAGGCCAGCCCAGGTAAGGACGGCAGTTTCCTTCCCGAAAGGGCATTACTGACCCAGATGGGGTTTTCCCGACAATTGATACATGGTCATCATTAGATTCTTAATTCCAGATATTTATTGAATTCAAATGCAACCATCTACCATGGTGGGATTCGAACCCGGGTCCCCAGAATATTACAGTCCAGTGAAAATACTACTAGGCCATCGTGTCCCCCAAGGTACTGAATAGGCATGTAGTGATACATTTAATAATTTATACATTTACAGCACAATGAGGCATTCATTCCATCATTCCCGTTTTATCAATTTAATCCCATTTCACCATCTTTTCCAATATCCTTGAAAATATTTCTATTCTAAATTACTGACGAAATGGGAGCCATATGACAAGTGTGATTTAACAGAGGTGCAAAATTATGCATTTAGAAAAGAACGACGAGGGGCAAAGGAGGCTGAGAATGGATCTTAATAGATTGTAGAATTCCCACATTGTGGAGGCAGGCCATTCAGCCCTTCGAGTCCACTGTCTAAAGAGCATTCCACCCAGACCCATTCCCCTACCCTATCCCTGCAACCTGCATTTCCCTGCAACTAACCTGTATATCCCTGAACACTATAGACAATTTAGCGTGGCCAATCCGTCTAACTTGCACATCTTTGGACTGTTGGAGGATATCGGAGCAACTCAAGACTGGGCATCCATGAGGTGCTGTGGGCCATCAACAGCAGCAGAATTGTAATCCAGCACAATCTAATCTCATGGCCCTGCATATCCCCCACTCAACCATTACCATCAAGCCAGGGGATCAACTCTGGTTCAATAAAGAGTGAAGGAGGGCATGCCAGGAGCAGCACCAGGCATACCTGAAGATGAGGTATCAACCTGGTGAAGCCACCAAACAGGACTACTTGCACCCAAACAGCGAAAGTAGCAACTGATAGACAGAGGTAAGCGATCCCACAACCAACGGATCAGATCTAAGCTCTGCAGTCCTGCCAGATCCAGTTGTGAATGGTGGTGGACAATTAAACAACTCACTGGAGGAGGAGGCTCCACAAATATCCCCATCCTCAATGATGGAAGAGCCCAGCACATCAGCGCAGTGCTGAGTGGATGATCCATCTCAGCCTCCTCCAGTGGTCCCCAGCGTTACAGATACCATCTTCAGCCAATTCAATTCATTCCATGTGATATCAAGAAACAAGATTGGAGACACTGGATACTGCAAAGGCAACCAGCCCTGACAACATTCCAGCAATAGTACTGAAGACTTGTGCTCCAGAACTTGCTGCTCCCCTAGCTAAGCTGTTCCAGTCCAGTTACAAAACTGGTATCTACCCATCAATGTGGAAAATTGGCCAAGTATGTCCTGTACACAAAAAGCACGACAAATCCAACCCAGTCAATTACCGCCCCATTAGTCTCCTCTCGATCATCAGTAAAGTGATGGAAGGTGTCAGTAACAGCGCTATCAAGCAGCACCTGCTCAGCAATAACCTGCTCAGTGACGCCCAGTTTGGGTTCTGCCAGGGCCACTCAGCTCCTGATCTCATTACAGCCTTGGTTCAAACATGGACAAAAGAGCTGAATTCCAGAGGTGAGGGGAGTGAGAGAACCCTTGATATCATGGTTGCAGTTGACCGAGTGTGGCATCAAGGAGCCCTGGAAAAACTGGAATCAATGGGTATCACGGGGCAAATGCTCTGGTGGTTGGAGTCATATCTGACACATAGGAAGATGGTCGTGTTTGTAGGAGGTCAATCATCCCAGCTCCAGGACATCTCTGCAGGAGTTCCTCAGGGTAGGCCCAACCATCTTCAGCTGCTTCATCAATGACCATCCTCCATCATAAGGTCAGAATTGGGGATGTTCGCCGATGATTACACAATGCTCAGCACCATTCCTGACTCATCAGATACTGAAGCAGTCCATGTTCACATGCAACAAGATCTGGACAATATCCAGGTTTGGGCTGACAAGTGGCAAGTGACATTCGCGCCACACAAATGCCAGGCTATGACCATCACCAATAAGAGACAATCTAACCACTGCCCCTTGACATTCAATGGTGTTACCATCACTGAATCCCCCACTATCAACATCCTGGGGGTTACCATTGACCAGAAACTCAAATGGACTCATCACATTAACAGAGTGGCCACAAGAGCAGGCCAGAAATTGGGCATACTGCAGCGAGTAACTCACCTCCTGACTCCTCAAAGCCTGTCCACCATCTACAAGGCACAAGTCAGGAGTGTGATGGAATACTCCCCACTTGCCTGGATGAGTGCAGACCCAACAACACTCAAGAAGCTTGACACCATCCAGGACAAAGCAGCCTGCTTGATTGGTACTACATCTACAAGCATTCACTCCCTCCACCACCGATGATCAGTAGCAGCAGTGTGTACTATCTACAAGATTCACTGCATAAATTCACCAAAGATCCTCAGGCAGCATCTTCCAAACACACGACCACTTCCATGTAGAAGGACAAGGGCAGCAGATATATGGGAACACCACCACCTCCAAGTTCCTCTCCAAGTCACTTACCATCCTGACTTGGAAATATATTGCCGTTCCTTCACTGTTGCTGGGTCAAAATCCTGGAATTCCCTCCCTAGTAGCATTGTGGGTCAACCCACAGCAGGAGGACTGCAGCGGTTCAAAAAGGCAGCTCACCACCACCTTCTCAAGGGCAACTAGGGATGGGCAAGAAATGCTGGCCAGCCAGTGATGCCCACATCCCACAAATGACTAAAAAGAAAACCCTGCAGAAACCCATGCAGACACAGGAAGAACGTACAAACTCCACACAAACAGTTGCCCAATGTTGGAATTGAACCCGGGTCCCTGGTGCTGTGAAGCAGAAGTGATAACCACTGAGCCACAATGCCGACCTGATTGTAGTACACAAAATATATAAAAAGCATAGATAGATTGTGAAAATCTTATCACATGCCAGATGTCTCTAAGACCAGAGTGTGTAAGTTTAAGGTGAGAAGTAAGTGGTTTCAAGGGGATCTGAGGAAGAATATTTTTACCCAGGTGATAGAAATGTGGAAAGTGCTGCCTGAGAGGGTAGTGGAGGCAGGCACTCTCACAAAATTTAATAAGCATCTGAACGAGAACTTAAAATGCTGGGACATAATAGGTTATGGATCAAGGCAAGTGGGATTAGTATAGTTTGGTGTTTGTTGCTGGGCAGAAAGGTTGTTTTTTTTAAAAATCGTGTATGACTCTATGGCTCTCTTACTTTTAAAAAGGCTGCAGAAACACTTGGAGGCTTTTGTACACAAATACTCGACAGTGAGAACACGGTTGAACAAAACACAGGAAATGGGAGCAAGCTGCTCAGCCCCTCAAGCTTGCTCCACCATTCAGTACGATCATGGCTGATCTGATGGGGACCTCAGCTTCACCATCCTCCCTGTCCTCCATAATCCTCAACTCTCTCATTGATCAAAAATCTATTCTGGTCAGCACTGAATATAGTGAATGACTCTGCTCCACCTAATGATTGACATAAATATCCTTTTCTTAATTCATTCACAGTATTTATATTGTAAACAGGTAAAGTCCAGCACGGAAGACCACAAGATATAGGAGCAGAATCAGGCCGTCAAATCTGGTCTGCCATTCGATCATGACTGATCTGCTTCTCAAACCTATTCTCCTGGCTTCTCCTCGTAACCTTTGATCGCCTTACCAACTAAGAACCTGTCTCTCAAAGACACTCAATGACTTGTCTTCCACAACCTACAGTGGCAATAAATTCCACAGATTAATGACCTTTCGGCCAAAAAAAAATTCCAGCCCATCTCAGTTCTAAGGGGTCGTCCTTTCACTGAGACCGAGCCCTTGGGTTCTAGTTTCTCCTACTAGTGGTAACATCTTCACCACATCATCTTTAGCCAAGCCCTTCATCCCCACGATCATTCCTGTAAACCTCCTGTAGTCCTCCTCCAAGAGCAGGACATACTTCCTTAGATATAGGACCCAAATCTGCTCACAATATTCCAAATACAGACCACAGCCCTATATAGCCTCGGCAGAACTGCTCTTGTTTTCTAGCCCTCTTGAAATGAATGACAACATTGCATTTGCCTTCCTAACCGCCAACTAAACCTGTTCTTAACCTGAAGAGAATCCTGGACAGGGACTCCCAAGTCCCTTTGTGCTCCAGATGTCCGAAGGGGTTCCCCATTTAGAAAACAGTCCACGTCTCTATTGTTCCTACCAAAGTGCATAACTTGACACTTCCCCACAGTGTATTTCATCTGCCATTTCTTTGCCTACTCTCGGCCTATCCAACTCCTTCTGCAGTCTCCTCAACATTTGCTGTCCCTCCACCTATCTTTGTGTTATCTGAAAACTTAACAATAATGTCCTCAGTTCCTTTGTCCAGATCATTCATGTATTAGGTGAATAGTTGCAGTCCCAGCACTGACCCCTGCAGAATTTGGCATCATGTTTGGCACAACACTGTAGCCGAAGGGCCCGACCCTGTTCTATGTTCCACTAGTCACTGTCTGCCATCATGAAAAAGACACCTTTAACCCTACTCTCTGCCTACTGCCAGTCAGCCAATCCTCCTTTTATCATAGAGCCCTGACAGGCCATTAGGCTCTTCTGTTCTATTCATTTTGTGGGATGTGGGCATCGCTGGCTAGGCCAGCATTTCTTGCCCATCCCTCGTTGCCCTTGAGAAGGTGGGGGTGAGCTGCCTTCTTGAACCGCTGCAGTCCACCTACTGTGGGTTGACCCACAATGCTATTAGGGAGGGAATTCATTGAGTCCACACTGACCCTCTGAACAGTATCCCACCCAGACTCACCCACTACCATATCCCTGTAACCCTGCATTGCCCAAGTCTAACCCACCTAGCTTACATATCCCTGAACACTATGGGCAATTTAACATGGCCAATCCACCTAACCTGCGCATCTTTATCTGTGCGAGAAAACCCATGCAGGCACAAGGAGAATGTGCAAACTCCACACCAACTGTTGCCTGAGGGTGGAATTGAACCCAGGTCCCTGATGCTGTGCGACAGCGTGTAAACACTGAGCAAACGTGCCGCCCTATGCCAGTACCTTGCGCCTAATGCCTATCTTATTTAGCAGCCTTCTCTGCGGGATACTGTCAAAGGCCTTCTGGAAATCCAAACAGATCGCATCCACCAGTTCTCTTTTGTCTAACTTGCTTTCTACCACCTCAAAGAATTCTAACAGATTTGTCAGACATGACTTCCCCTTGACGAAGGCGTGCTGACTCAGCACTTTACCATGCACTTCCAAGTACTCTGAACTCTTTAGCCCACCAATAACGACAGCTTGCTGAACGAAAAATGACACATTTATACCTCCTCTCTGCTTAGTTAACCAATCTTCTATCAATGACAATATGTTACACAACACTGAGCTTTTGTGTAGTAATCTCTGATATTGTTCTTTATTGAATGCCTTCTGAAATTTATCACATCTACAGGTTTCCCTCTATCCAGCCTGCTGGCTACCTCCTTAAATAGAACCCAAATAAGCTAAATGTGATTTTCCTTTCACAAAACCATGATGACTCTGCCTGACTGCATTATGATTTTCAAAGTGCCATGCTATAATCTGCTTATAGATTGGAAACATTGAGTTTAGTGACAAGGGAAGGCATATGCTCTTTTCCCTTTTCCTTCTCTAACTTCACCCTCAAGAAGACCAGGAGCTGAAGAGCTGAAGAAGAGGACAATGAATTTCAAAAACATCCAAGAGTACCATTGCAGGAATAATGTAAATTCATAACGTGAGACCCGGAGCTAACACAGGAAGAGTGACAACATTGGTAACCAAGGCCAGGTGAGCATTTCCACTAACCAGTTTTTTAAACTAAAAATTGCATTTGTATTCAGAATAAAAGTGTTTGAAGTCCAAGGAAAATGGTGAGGTCATTGCTAAATATGTAATGATCTTTGTAATGTAATGGTTAGGGAATAGAGGGATATGGACAATGTGTAGGCAAATGGGATTAATTTAGAATGGCATCATGTTGGTGCAGTCACGGTAGGCCAAAGGGCCTGTTCCTGTGCTATACTGTTCTGCCATCTAAGTTAAACTAAAGGAGGTAAACAGAGACAGAATAATTTAAGTCATAAGATAAGTCATGGCAAGGCAGCTCTGTGCAGTAGAATGCTCTTCAGTACAATTTGGGAAGTAAGGGGCACTTCCAGTGTCCAGGTGACCACAAGATCAGGACATGTTTCCAGCTGCAACTACTGGAAAACTGTGTTTCATATCTGAAGTACCTGCAAGTGAGGTGATCACACTGCAGGTAAAGCATATACAGACAGAAAGGGAATGAGTGGCCACCAGGCAGACTGAAAACCACCAGACAGGTAGTGCAGGAGTCTCCTGGGGACATCATCTCTAAAATGTTTCTGTGGGTGCAGATGTGACACCAGAAATGGTATGTTGTCTCCCTGCTGCCTGGATAAAGGATGTTCTTGAGCATCTGTAGAACATATAGATGGGAGAGGGTAGTGGAGTCGGCCTCATTAGGGGCATTTAAGCAGCTACTGGATAGGCATATGGATGATAGTATAAGGTAGGGGTGGAGGTTAGATAGACCTTAGGATTAGGGTAAAAGTTCGGCATAGCATCGTGGGTCGAAGGGCCTGTACTGTGCTGTACTGTTCTATGTTCTATGTTCTATGTTCATACTGAAGAATGAAGGTGAATAGCCTGGAGCTATAGTCCCTGTCATTACCAACAACATAGGTGAAAACAGAGTTGGAATCCTATAAGCAGAACATAAGAAATTAGGAAATAAATTAAAATGCAGGACCTCAAAAGTAGAAAACTCAGGATTACTATCAATGTCAGTTCTGAAGAAAGGTCACAGGACCTGAAACGTTAACTCTGTTTTCTCTCCATGTAAACTCTGTATTCATCCAGGCCAGAATCTGTTCAGTTTCTCCAGCAATTTATGCTTTTGTTTGTTTTACTCTCAAATAGATATGCTAGCAAGATCAGGAAGAAGTAAATAGACAGCTGAAAGTGAGGCTGAAGGGATGGTGTAAGAGGGTGGAATTTGGATTCTCGAGGAACTGGGACCAGTTCTGGGAAGTTGGAAGCTGTACTAGCTAAATGGGTTGCATCACTAAAGGACCTGGGCCAATAGCCTCACAATGGATATTCACTGGTTCTGTAAGTGGGGTGGTTTAAACTAGAGTGGCAGGGGGAAGGGAAAGCGAGCTGGGAGACAAGAGTGAGAGAAACAGATTTGAAAATGAAAAAAAAACAGTAAAAGACATGGACTAGCAGCAAATAGGGTCATGATACAAACAAAGTACAAAAATGTCAAAAGTCCACAGGTACTGTTTTTATCTGAAAGCATGGAATATTTGCAATATGTTAGATGAATTAACAATGCAACCAGCTGTAAATGGGTATGAAATGATAGCGACTGCAGAGACATGTTTGCGAGTGACCAAGTCTGGGAACTGAGCATCCAAGGGCACTTAATCGTTAGGAAAGCCAGGCCAAATGGAAAAGATGGTGTGGTGGCATTGTCAGTGAAAGATTAAATCAGTTCAACAGTAAGTGCTTTTGTATCAAAAAAGAAAAAGATTAGTTAAGACCCTCACAGTCTAAAACAGGAGATAACGAGAATAAGGAAATGGCAGACCACTTAAAAAAACTTCAGTTCTGTCTTCATAAAAATAGATACAAATAGCTTCCGAGGGAAGCCTGAATCTTTTGGAAAGAAGGAATTGAAAAACAGTACTGTTAGTAAAAGAAAGGAGTAATTAATGGGACCATAAGATGACAAATCCCCTGGTTCTGATAATCAACGTCCCACTTACTAAACAAGATGACTATGAAAATAGTGATGTGTTAGGTGTCTTCTTCCAAAATTCTGTAGATTCTGGAACTGTTCCAGGAGATTGGAGGGTGAACCAATGCAACCCCACTGTTTGAAAAAGGAGGGAGAGGGCAAACCAGGAATTACAATTAGTTAGCCAAACATGTGCTGGTAAGGAAAATACTGGAGCCTATTAATAGAGGATGTGATAATAGGACACTTAAAAAAAACTAACAGTATTACACAAGGTCAACATAGATTTATGAAAAGAAAG